CTGTATGGGGAGAGGAGATGTCCGTCAGTGATAAAGAGAGATCGAGAGAGAATCATAGAGGGAAAAAACGAGAGGGCAGACAAACATTTCCAGAAATGGCACCCATCTCACCCACTCACCCACGACATGAGTGATCACCCGCCAGAGAATGGTATATAACATGCTACCACCTTCCACCCCTTCAGCAAATGCAACACATGTAATTTCCCCGGATTACCCTTAGCAATATTCTGTAAATTGCATCATCTGCTAGATAAATGCCTATCACCGTTACTACGTAAGAGCTTGGTGGTGCTTAGAGCGTGCAATGATAATTGTTATTGGAGCGTTTCCCATCAACGCAACATGGGGGACTGACGAACGTACACTCCCCTCATTGTCTATAGGGTCAATTAGGTTTAGATTACACTACTGCATCCTGTTTTGTCTGGTGTAGACCAGACGAGACTAGAATTCAGTTACATATAATAGCAGGGTTAGTCTAAATTTTGATGTCATTCACCTTACATACGAGTCTTTCATTAGTGGATAAAGCTGGCTTATGTGTGAGCAAGTCTTGCAATACTGTGGGTAACTGTGGGTATGTTATCTTGTAGCAGCACCACTGGTGTCAGTGTAAGTCTTGCAATACTGTGAGTAACTGTGGGTATGTTATCTTGTAGCAGCACCACTGGTGTCAGTGTAAGTCTTGCAATACTGTGGGTAACTGTGGGTATGTTATCTTGTAGCAGCACCACTGGTGTCAGTGTAAGTCTTGCACTGCTGTGGGTAACTGTGGGTATGTTATCTTGTAGCAGCACCACTGGTGTCAGTGTAAGTCTTGCACTGCTGTGGGTAACTGTGGGTATGTTATCTTGTAGCAGCACCACTGGTGTCAGTGTAAGTCTTGCACTGCTGTGGGTAACTGTGGGTATATCTTGTAGCAGCACCACTGGTGTCAGTGTAAGTCTTGCACTGCTGTGGGTAACTGTGGGTATGTTATCTTGTAGCAGCACCACTGGTGCCTGTGTCAGTCTTGCACTGCTGTGAGTAACTGTGGGTATGTTATCTTGTAGCAGTTCCACTGGTGCCAGAGTACGTCTCAAACTGCTGTGATTAACTGTGGGTATGTTATCTTGTAGGAGCACAACTGGTGTCAGAGTACGTCTTGCACTGCTGTGAGTAACTGTGGGTATGTTATCTTGTAGCAGCACCACTGATGTCAGAGTACGTCTCAAACTGCTGTGAGTAACTGTGGGTCGGTTACCTTGTAGCAACACCACTGATGTCAGAGTACGTCTCAAACTGCTGTGAGTAACTGTGGGTCGGTTATCTTGTAGCAGCACCACTGATGTCAGAGTACGTCTCACACTGCTGTGAGTAACTGTGGGTCGGTTATCTTGTAGCAGCACCACTGATGTCAGAGTACATCTCACACTGCTGTGAGTAACCGTGGGTCGGTTATCTTGTAGCAGCACCACTGATGTCAGAGTACATCTCACACTGCTGTGAGTAACTGTGGGTCGGTTATCTTGTAGCAGCACCACTGATGTCAGAGTACATCTCACACTGCTGTGAGTAACCGTGGGTCGGTTATCTTGTAGCAGCACCACTGATGTCAGAGTACATCTCACACTGCTGTGAGTAACCGTGGGTCGGTTATCTTGTAGCAGCACCACTGATGTCAGAGTACATCTCACACTGCTGTGAGTAACCGTGGGTCGGTTATCTTGTAGCAGCACCACTGATGTCAGAGTACGTCTCACACTGCTGTGAGTAACTGTGGGTCGGTTAACTTGTAGCAGCACCACTGATGTCAGAGTACATCTCACACTGCTGTGAGTAACCGTGGGTCGGTTATCTTGTAGCAGCACCACTGATGTCAGAGTACGTCTCACACTGCTGTGAGTAATTGTGGGTCGGTTAACTTGTAGCAGCACCACTGATGTCAGAGTACATCTCACACTGCTGTGAGTAACCGTGGGTCGGTTATCTTGTAGCAGCACCACTGATGTCAGAGTACGTCTCACACTGCTGTGAGTAACTGTGGGTCGGTTATCTTGTAGCAGCACCACTGATGTCAGAGTACGTCTCACACTGCTGTGAGTAACTGTGGGTCGGTTAACTTGTAGCAGCACCACTGATGTCAGAGTACATCTCACACTTCTGTGAGTAACCGTGGGTCGGTTATCTTCCATCAAGAACACTTTCCTTCACGGACAGCAAGGGATGCCTTGATGCTAGTGAATGACCCTTGATCTAAGGTATAAAAGCTGCACCCCTCATCCTTGAATCAAACATGATTACCTTCCATTTCCAGGCGCTGTGTGACCCTTTACGGGTTTAACGCTTCCCAAGAGAAAGGAGCTACATAAATACTTAAACCATAACCATGGTATGGTAATTCATACCATCACATAATATGGGTGTTGTACCATCACCATTATATAATATTTCTGTGAAAATTAATTTTAGGATATTAATTATTATTTTGAAATTAAGACACATGTGCAACATCTGGGTATCTTTACTGTAGACGTTTCGCCATCCAGTGGCTTTATCAATACAGATTCTAAGACATAACTTGAAGACAGTAGAACTATGTCCTAGAATTTGTATTGATAAAGCCACTGGATGGCGAAACGTCTACAATAAAGATAGCCAGATGTTGCACATGTGTCTTAATTCCATCTTGTCGGTATTGTATACCATTCTTACACAATTAATATTTTCTTAACTGCAAATATTTATCTTGTCTAAACAATAGTTTAACAAAATCTTGGTTAATAAAGATGTTGTCAGCTGTTATTGTTTTTGTTCAGCTTAAGTTGTTACTGTTTCGTCTCTCATTTATTTAGAGAAGACTTGACTACAACTTAAAGTTGTGTTGCCAAGAATAATATAGATCATGTGTAAGTCAATTTGTTTCGGTCTGGTTAGATGTCGTGGTTGATGAGGGTTGATGATAGTGGTGGTTGATGTGGTGATGGTGGTTGATGATAGTGGTGGTGATGGTAGTTGATGATAGTGGTGGTTGAGGTGGTGATGGTGATTGATGATAGTGGTGGTAGAGGTAGTGATGGTGGTTGATGATAGTGGTGGTAGAGGTGGTGATGGTGGTTGATGTGGTGATGGTGGTTGATGATAGTGGTGGTTGATGATAGTGGTGGTAGTGGTGGTGATGGTAGTTGATGATAGTGGTGGTTGAGGTGGTGATGGTGGTTGATGATAGTGGTGGTTGATATGGTGATGGTGGTTGATGATAGTGGTGGTAGTGGTGGTGATGGTGGTTGATGATAGTGGTGGTTGATGTGGTGATGGTGGTTGATGATAGTGGTGGTGTAGTGTGGTGTGATGATAGTGGTGGTAGTGGTGTGATGGTAGTTGATGATAGTGGTGTGGTGGAGGTGGTGATGGTAGTTGATGATAGTGGTGGTTGATATGGTGATGGTGGTTGATGATAGTGGTGGTAGAGGTGGTGATGGTAGTTGATGATAGTGGTGGTTGATGTGGTGATGGTGGTTGATGATAGTGTTGGTGATGGTTGTTGATGATAGGTGGTGGTGGTTGAGGTGGTGATGGTGATTGATGAATAGTGGTGGTAGAGGTTGTGATGGTGGTTGATGATAGTGGTGGTAGAGGTGGTGATGGTGGTGATGATAGTGGTGATGGTGGTTGATGTGATGTGGTGGTAGAGGTGGTGATGGTGGTTGATGATAGTGGTGGTTGAGGTGGTGATGGTGGTTGATGATAGTGGTGTGTAGTGGTGGTGTGGTGGTAGTGGTGGTTGATGGTGTTGATGTAGTGGTGGTTAGTGGTGGTGATGGTGATTGATGATAGTAGTGGTGGAGGTGGTGATGGTAGTTGATGATAGTGGTGGTAGAGGTGGTGATGGTGATTGATGATAGTGGTGGTAGAGGTGGTGATTGTGGTTGATGATAGTGGTGGTAGAGGTGGTGATGGTGGTGTTGAAAGTGGTGGTAGAGGTGGTGATGGTGGTTGATGGTGGTGGTGGTAGAGGTGGTGATGGTGGTTGATGATAGTGGTGGTAGAGGTGGTGATGGTGGTTGATGATAGTGGTGGTAGAGGTGGTGATGGTGGTTGTTGAAAGTGGTGGTAGAGGTGGTGATGGTGGTTGATGGTGGTGGTGGTAGAGGTGGTGATGGTGGTTGATGGTGTGGTGGTAGAGGTGGTGATGGTGGTTGATGATAGTGGTGGTAGAGGTGGTGATGGTGGTTGATGATAGTAGTGGTAGAGGTGGCGATGGTGGTTGATGATAGTGGTGGTAGAGGTGGTGATGGTGGTTGATGATAGTGGTGGTAGAGGTGGCGATGGTGGTTGATGATTAGTGGTGGTAGAGGTGGTGATGGTGGTTGATGGAGTGGTGGTAGAGGTGGTGATGGTGGTTGATGGTGGTGGTGGTAGAGGTGGTGATGGTGGTTGATGAAGTGGTGGTAGAGGTGGTGATGGTGGTTGATGATAGTGGTGGTAGAGGTGGCGATGGTGGTTGATTATAGTGGTGGTAGAGGTGGTGATGGTGGTTGATGATAGTGGTGGTAGAGGTGGCGATGGTGGTTGATGATAGTGGTGGTAGAGGTGGTGATGGTGGTTGATGTAGTGGTGGTAGAGGTGGGATGGTGGTTGATGATAGTGGTGGTAGAAGTGGTGATGGTGGTTGATGATAGTGGTGGTAGAAGTGGCGATGGTGGTTGATGATAGTGGTGGTAGAGGTGTGTGATGGTGGTTGATGATAGTGGTGGTAGAGGTGGCGATGGTGGTTGATGATAGTGGTGGTAGAGGTGGCGATGGTGGTTGATGATAGTGGTGGCAGAGGTAGTGATGGTGGTTGATGAGGGTATGATGATAGTCGTGGTAGTTTTGAGGGAATTGGTTATAGAAGCGGTTTATTAGTGTGATATTGTGGTGGTGGTGGTGGGTTGTGTGGTGTGGTGGTGGTGGTCGTCGTCGTCTGTCGTGTCGTCGTCGTGTAGGAAACTCAAGAAATGACGCAATGTCGTGCG